CTTGAGCGCTTGTAAAACTTATGTATTCATACATTTTTGGGACCCGTCTACCCCTATCGCAACCAGCTCAAGTGGCTCCCAATCCGACTTCGCAGGAATACCAGAATCCTATGCCTCCTTTTTAACATACTCTACAATCCAACATCACTACCATATCTACGTGATCGATTCCGCTTTGCTCGTTCTCCCTATGCAGTTTGCAGACCACATTTAAAAACACTCCTAAATTTCCCTTCCTTCAGAACTAAGTACTATTCTCATTCTTTTACAGTACATGCAGTTAGGTTATGGAATTCTCTTCCTGCTGCAATTCGTGAGGCTCAAACAGTTTCAGTGTTTAAAAGGCGAGTTAAAGAGCACTATCTTTCTTTGTCGTCCCAATGATCCAATGTATGACTTGTATATATATGTGTATCTACTTGTATTTTATTTTATATATGTAAATAGTATAGTATTTAGGTATATGCATGTTTGTATGTATGGATACATACATAAACACACATAAACACTCACGCCTGTCACCCAGAGGGGTAGGCAGAGACTACAGACTTCCATTTGGCACGATTTTGACACACCTCTCTCGCCTCCTTCACATCCATACACCTACGCATACATGCTCGTTGGTTAAGGGTACTCCTAATTTGGCCCGTTTTCAATAAATCGCCAATTTGGTCGATAAATTTTCGCCTAGGACATCCCTTACCGACTCTGCCATTCACTTCTGCAACATAAATTTTCTTTGTCACTCTTTCCTCATTCATTCTTTCCACATGACCAAACTTTTTTTAATCCTGGTCACAACATCATCTTGCAAACCACACTCTTCTCTTATTACACAATTTCTTACCCTGTCATTCAGATTCAGCCCTAACATACTCCTTAATTCCGCATTTCTACTGCGTTCATTCTACTTATTTATATTATCTTTATTTTATATTAAGTTTATTAATATTATAAAATTTATTATGAAGGTGCACACTAAATATGCTTCTCTTTGAATCTGTCCAGTATCAGGCCTGCTGGAAGAAATTTCACTATGAAATAAGCATTGCCTTTGTACAAAATTTCTTTTTATTTTTCATTGTATAATACTTCGTGTGTACATAAATTGTTAAATAAATAAATAAATAAGTTATTAAGTATGACTATTGCTACCATATAGATAAATATTAACCGGAAAAACTGGTTTACAGATTCTCATTTCTTATTATCTACTCGTATAAAAAAATATAGTATTAGTTTTGTAGCAATTCTTTTTTTGTAAAATTTGTTTTCTTAAAGCATTATTAGCTGGTACCAACTTCAAAAATTCTAATCTTTAGTAAATGAAATACCTCGTTCAGTTATTTTTTACTTTTTTTGAAATTGGTTTAATTTTTTTAAACTACTATTTTATATCGTAAATTTTAGTTTAAGTTGTAATAACTATTTATTACAAAACCTATTTCAGTTTTAGTTACACGTTTTAGTCAATGTCATAAAAACTAGTGAACCTATTATGATAAAATCGTTATTATTCCCTAAGTTCACTACTGATAAATGTGAGCAAATAATCTCGAAGTTAAAATAAATAAAAAAAACGATCGCGATCCGAATACTATTTTCGAAGAAATCCGTGAACAAACATACGAACGTACATACACTTATAAAATTTTGTATATTTGTTTGGAATCCCAAATAGATTATCATATGTCAATATTTTGTAGTTCCTATAATTTTGCATACATACGATACGTGTCGAATTGATAATCACCTTTTTTTGAAGTCGGTTAAAACTCAAACCGCTTTACGCTTAACATGACAACATATCTTGAAAACTATTGAAGCGATTTTTATTAAAATTGCAATGATACCTAAGTTGAAAGATGCTTAATCTAATAAAAAAGGGGTCAGCTCGACCGGAGAAGGACCACGATCTCACAGAATACTAGCGTAAAATAGTGAATACAGCGTAAATTACTGGAAACGAAGCAGTCCATCTTAGTGCTCACGGGTGACAACGCATTTACATTTTGATTCGTAATCGAAGATTAATGTAGATGTCCATGGGCCACAGCAACCATCTACCACCAGGTGGACTGTGTGCTCATTTGTCACCCTATCCTATAAAAAAATATTTCTTCAAGCGTGAAATGGAAAATATGCCATCTACTTCAAATAATATACAAGCTGCAGGCTCAAGTCGGTGCTTGGAGGATTCCTTAAGTTCTAGCTATATTGAAAAACGTGTACATAACATTTCAACTTTAGAGAGAAGGAGCGATCCAACTGGTGAAATAACCAACACTCTTTAAGTATCATTTAAAAATTAAAATATTTTTAGAGAAAAAGAAGAAGTGTTTTGAAATTTTGGGAAGGAATTTGAAGTCGCGAGATTTAACTAAAACTTTTAATTTAAATTAACTGAAAATCTCAAAACTTGAAATCAATCAGATCAAGTTATTTAATTTACTTGTTTATCTACACAGGTAAATCTCGCGACAAGCTTATACCACACAAATTGTGTAATGACATTATAAGTTGATAGTAAAAGTTTTAAGGGAAAAATTTTATTTTATTCTTTTAAGCGCATTTAAATAAAAGCTTGTTTTTAAAAAAGTTTTTTTTTTTACTTATAAAATATTTTTATATTTTAGTTATAGCTGGACAGGTTTCTCAGTCTGTTCATCTCATATATCGCATCACTGTGACTACGTCGTTTGCCGGTTAATTTCGAACAGTCTAGCTTTTCAATAAGGAGACCTTTTAATGATTTTACCCTACTTAAGATCACGTATGCTTGACCAGCAGCGAAGATCTTCGAGCCTAAGTATATAACGGAATGGTTGTCGGCGGAGTTTATGATCACCATCGTATTTTTTTAATTTGCATTCGTATTCTTAGTAAGTCCTTTCATTTTACCCTTATATTGTCGGAATGCATAAAAAAATTATGCTACCATCTTAGATTCAGTGTGACGTCACTTTATTTTTCGAGTTATTCTCAACAAGTCCTTTCATTTCATACCCGTATTGTATGAGAACATTCGCCATCTTAGGTATTCCACCGTGTTGGATTTAGAATGACGTCACACAGCTAATCATATATTGTCATCCAAGTTAAACGTGTATACAAATTTTAGGCTTAATCGGTTAAAGACATTCTGCTTCAAAATTGACTTTCTAGATTTCACCCGAACAAACATAGTTACATACATTGCAAGTTAATTAAAAGCTTTTAAAATTGCACCCATGTAAAGGTAGAGCGCGTCGTTAGAAACATGTAAAAAAATATAGAAATATAGTTGATATTCCGAGTTGTATGTACTTTTGTAAAATCTGATGTCTCAGTTGATAATTCAATTGCTGCGCAGACGATCACAAAACCTATAGCTTTAGAGAGTGAAAGAACATACGAGTAAAAGAGATGGCATAGAACAATAAATATTTACATTATTATTCTGTTATAACAATATTTTAGAAACGTTTAATTGACAAGTTTATTGTAACGTAATTATAACGTTATACACATACAAATCTTTGCATATTAATGGGTGCGTTTGGCAGAAAAAAGCGCTAGCAAGCGTTTACAAGCGCTGAAATAGTTTTCGGCCAGGACACGATTGCTACTTCAGTAGCGCTGACACAATCCGCCATTTTGCTTATTTAATTTGTTTGTTTTGAAGTAGAGTTTATAAGTTGTTTTGCGCAATATTAGTTTTAAGTAATATATTGGCATGAATAAACATATACATGTTATTAAAAATTCATGATTGGTAAGTTTTTAATATGAATACTTTACAAACATATATTTAAATTAGGTTAGGTTCTCCGGTTAAAACTAACTTCGTGTCCTAGAGGAAAATAGCTACTTACGATTTGACAGCGCTTACCGCTTATGATCGCCATTTTGCTTACAAGCGCTTGCTAGCGCTTTTTTCTGCCAAACGCACCCAATATCGTTTTGATAATATATCGTTTCTCTTAAACATAACGTTATCTCGCATTTGCGCTGATAACGTTACTGTATTTTACCGTTATTTAAGTCCCTGGTCTTTCAGTTTATACAAAGCGTAGACAGAGAAACCTATAGACAAATTGACACCTTCTTTCGCATTCGCACACGAAAAAGATAGATTTATGCATACGTCTTGCATAGAAATGAGATAGAGCGGTGTGATTGTTTGTCCCTTTCTCCGTGCCGGTTTTTTTTGTTTCCCGTTTGCTAAACAACTTTAACAGCGTAGTGATTTAAGGAGTTTACAAGTTGATTTAAGTGAGAAAAAAGTGTTTTGTGAGCTTAAGATTGGTGAATTTTGTTCAGTTCAGTTCTTAGAACAATTAAAATTTTTATCTAAATGTGTTTAAAAGTCATAAAGATTATTGTATAACCTAAAAATTCGTTATCGTCCTTTCTCACTCGAGGCCACGCCGATCATTAGTCTATAGGTTTCTCTGTCTACGATACAAAGGTACTCTGTGTCCATAAATTACTGAATATATACTCTGTCTACGGCATATGGAAAAGTGACAATCGTAGACCACTGACTTAGAAGTATATATTAGAATATATTATCTTATTATCTCTATGTCACAGAGTACTTTCTAATATAATGAGGGTATGTTCAGAAATACAACGCAGTGTACTGTCCAATGCAAATGACGTCATGAATCGACGCTATACTGGTGATTCGTTCCAAAACATTGGACAGTATATGACGTCATACTTTTGCGCCATTTGGAAAAGTGTTGGCGATTATTTTGTCATTTTGTGCTCCAAAAATCATTATATCCTCCTAATAGATATACCATCAATTATTCTATAATATTTTGTATTTGAATATATAGAAACAAATTCTGGCATGCTTCATTCGGCAAACACACAATTAAAAATTGTTTTATTATGGCCGGATATTCGACACAATATGGCGGTGGCACGCTAGTACAATAAAGTGTCAAATGATACGTCATTTGCATTGGACAGTACACTGCGTTGTATTTCGGAACATACCCCTAGTGACAATGTTCCAAAATAAACCGTTCCAAAGACTTCCGAAAAATGTCGTACCTAAACATTACAATTTGAAATTGGTTCCAAATCTCGAGAAATTTACTTTTAACGGAACAACAGAGGTGAAAGTATCGGTAAGACGGAATTTCATCATAATGTAAAGCTAATATCTAATTTCCATGTGACGTTCCTATACTAGTCGACGTTTTCACTTTCAGATTGTGAATCCTACCCAGGAAATAGTACTCAATTCTTTAGATTTGGATTTGACCAGTGTGACATTACAATATGACGATTCAGGATGTGATTCGGCGCTCACTCCTTTGGAAGTGCGGTTATCTGCACCGGATGAGACAGCAATTATAGTTTTCGAAAAACATCTACGCGAGGGCGATGCAACGCTTTATTGTGAATTTACTGGTGAGATGAACGATAAAATGAAGGGTCTGTACCGAAGCAAATACTTAACCCCAGGTGGCGAAGAACGCTATGCTGCCGTTACTCAGTTTGAGGCTACAGATGCACGCCGATGTTTTCCGTGCTGGGATGAACCTGCCATTAAAGCAACTTTTGATATATCGTTAGAAGTGCCAGCTGATCGAGTTGCTCTTTCAAACATGCCTATGAAAGAGGAAAAGGCAATTGGGGAAAAAAAATTAATACATTTTGATACAACCCCTATTATGTCTACTTATCTTGTGGCAGTTGTGGTGGGAGAGTATGATTATGTTGAAAAGAAATCTCAGGATGGTGTCTTAGTTAGAGTGTATACTCCCGTAGGCAAGAGTAAACAAGGGTTATTTGCATTAGAAGTTGCAGCACGAGTCTTACCTTATTATAAAGAATACTTTGATATAGCTTATCCACTACCAAAGATTGATTTAATAGCAATTGCAGATTTCTCTGCTGGTGCTATGGAAAACTGGGGTCTGGTAACATACAGAGAGATGTGCCTTTTAGTTGATGAAAAACATACTTCAGCTGTGCATAGACAGTGGATAGCTTTAGTTGTAGGCCATGAGCTGGCACATCAATGGTTTGGTAACCTTGTCACCATGGAGTGGTGGACTCATCTTTGGCTCAATGAAGGATATGCTTCGTTTGTTGAATTTCTATGTGTAAATCATCTTTTTCCTGAATATGATATTTGGACACAATTTGTAACTGAAACTTATATCAAGTAAGTCATTTTGGTAATCATGGTAGTTGTAGTTTTGTCTTAAGTATTGAATTTTCAATGTGTGTTATGGAGTAATTTTTTTCTTGTTTATTTTTTATTGATAAACTATTGTTATATATGCCTTCAATCACAGAATAAAGAGTAAAAAAAATACATTGCAAAATAATAATTAAGTTACTTAGGTGAAGTACATATTCTATGATCAACTGACATTATTTCCGCACTTATGTGAGTTCTGTGATGCCCAACTCATGCAACTTATAAGGCCGTCGAGAATTGCAATGCTTGGTTCAAAAGAAATAGCTAGATAGTGTATATAACAAATAAACCTGAAATACGATTCCTAGAGTATAGGTATGTAAGTAGATACTGGGATAGTGAAGTAAATTTCAAAAGTTTTGTAATAAAAAACTTAGATGTTACTTTTGTAGATAAATTATTACTTAATTATTAATAATTTCTTATATTTACGCGAACACTACACATTGATTAAAACTAATTTTACAGATTTTATCGCATTTAAAATTATTTTTAATTCCCGACGTTTCGGGTGCTTTCCAGCACCCATGGTCACAGGGGACTGAGGTAACTGACATCAGGAATGTCAATCTTATATTTAAATATTTTTTGCTAGTGTTTGAAAATATTTAATGAAGAGAGCTATTTGCAAAGTCATTTATGTTTACTAAGTGCACATTGAAACAAAAATTGGAATATTGCCAGCTACTTATAGGAGAATGACCTCCTTGTTTACAAAATACTACTATAAACATTTTATTATGCCACCAAGGGATCATTCACCTTAGGCATTGTTTAGCAGACCCTGAAATAATTGAATGTCATATAAATCATTATTTCTATACAATGATGTCATTTTAATACCCTATATTTAACATCTTCCATCACATAACTATAGTGTTGAGTAGAAATAAGTTTGTAAGAGTGGTCTCTTTTGTGTATTGAGCCAGTAAAATGTCCGTCTAAGTGAGCTGAATTGAAACTTGACATGGGATCCAGTGCCATACATACTTGCATAACAAACATTCATCAGAAAACTCACTTAAAACTTTTGTTATCTTGAGATTGCGCTTTTTGATTGATTTGCGCTTGGCCAAGATTCAAAGAGAGAAGAGTATATGGTATATTTTATAAAAAAAAAGTTGTGATCTAAAAATAAGTTTTCTTTTGAATATGAATGCTAAAATCGGAAAATACCTTTGAAGAACATGTGACAAAATTTTGAGTCACACTTATTTCTTAATGTATTGAACAAATTTATTGCCTCTTGTATGTTCTACTCAACACTAACTTACTATTATCAATGCTTTTTAGTGTTCAATAGAATTACCTTTTTAGTTATTTGTTTAGTTTTTAATCCTAATAATTACTATTAATAAATTATAAGGGTCATAGTGTGTTTTATCATAGCAGTTGACTGTAATAAAATATAGGTGGGTTTCTATAACACACACTAATGTAAAGAAAAGGATGAAATTGTTGGTCATTACTTAAATTATATATTAATATACTATGTCATAAAATACCTTTTTAATCATTATTTATATTTAAATATTTTTATAGAGCACTAGAACTGGATTGTTTGAAGAATTCACACCCTATAGAAATACCAGTAGGTCATCCTTCAGAAATAGATGAGATATTTGATGATATATCATACAACAAAGGGGCTTCTGTCATACGCATGTTACATAAATATATTGGTGATGATGACTTTCGAAAAGGCATGAATATTTATTTAACAAGGCACCAGGTAATTAAAAAATAAAAATAAAAAGTATACAAAACCAAAGAAATAAAAAACAATGACCGCTACACTAACATGCTTGGACTATTAAACATGGTATAATGTAATCAGATGAAACATGTTGTTGTATTTGTCTATTTAAGTATAATAAAGTATGGCATTCAGTTTTGAATACCAATGCAAAACAGGAGCTTAATATTGCTGTGTTTCATATGGTGAGTAGAGATCTAGAAACCCTGTTTTACTGGAAAGAGGCATTCCATCTTAGTCCTCAGGCTTGACAACGCATCTGCATTTTGATTCTTAATTGAGGATAAATGTAGATGTCTATGGGCCACAGCATCCACTTACCTTCAGGTGGACTGTAAGCCCGTTTATGACCCCTTTAAAAAAAGATTATTTTTAAAAGTAGAGAGAATGTAGTAATTATGCAATATTATGTTTCTTGAGGTTATGTGATATATTATTAATCTGCAGCATTTTAAAATGAAAGATTTTTCTTAGTTTAATAATTAACATAAGTTTATATGGTTGAAATTGTCTAGAATTTAATTTCGATTAAGAACAAAACTGATTTAGACTTTAAAACAGTATAAATAAAATATATTTTCTTTATACTGTTTTAAAGTAAGTTAAATATATTTCTTTAGTTATCACAGACTTCTTTTTATTAGATTATATACTCTTTGTTTAGGAATGTAAATAATTAGGAATGTTTTCAATAATAAGATATTTAATACTGCATTCTGTGATAAGCAAAGTTGTATTTTTAAAGACAATTATTTATATTTCCCCAGCTTTTAAAAATAAACTGGTGATATACTACATTTTGGTGACAGTCTCATGTCTTTAATTATTAATGTTTTTTCCTAGTCCAAAATGGTCATTGTTTTTTCTTAATATTTAATGAATAAAACTGAAATACAGGAATATTATAAAATGTGTATTAATTTTATTTTACAGTATAAAAATACTTTTACAGAAGATTTATGGGCAGCATTAGAAGAAGCTTCAAATAAACCTGTAAGAGCCGTTATGTCAACCTGGACTAAGCAGATGGGTTTCCCTATGGTGCAGGTGAGACTTTAATAATAATTTGTATTTTTAGATCATGTGTAAGGCATTGCTTCTGCACCAAATCTCAATTTCATTATTATGTATATGTATGCTTTATGGGGTCAACTCTTGTCTGTGATAGTGTAAGGTAAATACGGTCTGGGGAGTATTGCATGTTATTCCTGTCTGCTATCTTAGCACTGTTTCCCATCCACAACTTGTGTTTGTGTATGAGATGTGTATATAGTGTCAGTGTGTGGGTTGGCGAAATTTGAGTACCTTAGGTCTTTGTTTAGTATTGAATAAATAAAAGATAATGGTGGTAATTTAATATCACTATACCATACATGGCACTTCTTGGGTAGATCCATGTTTAGCAGTAGACTTGTGAAGTGCTGTATTAATGGTGAAGACACCAAATACACTTACATCATTGTGATTTCTTCAAATAACCCATATAATTTATCTCTGTGAACTATACAATTCTAGGTTACTTCAGAGCAAAGGGGACCAAACCGTGTTTTGAAGATGACTCAGCAAAAGTTTTGTGCTGATGGTAGCCAAGGTGATGACACACTGTGGATGATTCCAATAACTATATCAACACAGGAGCAACCTTCAAAGGTATCAGATATCTATTCCTGAACCTTCAACTACAATCATTCAACCTTCAATCAATTCACCTTGAGATAACAATATTGTCAAAATTATCCATATATGCATATATATATATATATATATATATATATATATATATATATATATATATATATATGTATTAGCATTGATTGATCTACTTTTGGATAATTATGTGATAAGAAAGATTGAAAGATAAATTCAGTAAGTAAATTATTATTTAAAACAAAAATATATAATATGAATACACATTATCTAATTAAACCATGTTTTATTAAAAAGGAAAAGAATAAAAAGTACGATAATAAATTACAGTAGAACGTCGATTAACCGAACGACCGCTTAACCGAACTGTTACCTCGGCACCTCATTGGGATGCGACCACCTTCTTGCTTCTCCACGCAGTGTTCCCTGTTGGCCTACGTTCAGTACCGCTAGCGCTATACGCTTATGTGTTAATTTTGCACTATTAGATCGCAATTTAAAATGCCTAAGCGTAAACATGTTGTTCCTTCCATAAAAGATAAATACGAGATTAACAAACAATTAGAGAAAGCCGAATCTGCAACTAAGTTATCTAAGAAGTACAAAGTGGTTAAGTCGACAATTACGGATATGAAAACTAAAAGAACATATCCATTTTTATATCCAAACATAATTTTACCGATGGGTCGACAAGTCGTAAAACTATGAAGCTCGCCACGAATATCCGATCACCGTCATCGACGCTGTTTACAAGTGATTTACGCAAAAAAAAAATCACAAGGAGAACCTATCTATTATGCTGTTCTATGTGAAAAGGCAAAACATTAAAAGAAAAACTTGGAGGGCCGTCAAACTTTCAAGCAAGTACGTGAAGGCATTCGTGAGCTTCAAATGCAAGACAAAAAGTTATCTGCTGGTTCTTCAGCAGCTGATTCTTTCAAAATCAAATTAAGCGACTTATGAATCAATTATATGTGACCTTCATGAGCGTTAGAAAACGTTTACAATCCTGACGAAATTGGACTCAATTGGAAGGCTTTGCCACGAAAAACTCTTGCCACGCGTCGTGAATTAGCGGCACCTTGTGCAAAGTAAATAATCGTATCAATGTATTACAACTGTAATAGATTATATTTGTATTACATATTATAAATATGTTTTTGTTAGTATAATCGAAATGTTCGAGATAATCGAAGAATTGATGTACCAACATACAATAATACAGTTCGATTATCCGAACAATCCGGTTTTCCGAACACCTATGTCCGCCAATCAATTCGGATAATCGACACTCTACTGTATACCAATCGTTATAATATTTATATTTTAATATATCGTTATAATATTTTATATGTACGAGGGTGGATTGAAAAGTACTCGGCCTAACACAGATCTATTCAATTCTAAAAATCAAATCTACCCACATTATTTAGTTCAGTTCAGACTAGTTCATTGTGTGAAGTTCGAAACGTGTGCGATAATTAGTTGTGATTTTATAAATTTATTAACAAAGTAATCGGACATAATTTCCGCGAATGGAGCAAATCGAGCAGCGTGCCGTCATTAAGTACCTCCATAAGAAGGGGCTATTATCAAAAGCCATCCATGATGATATGGTCAGTACATTAGGTGATTGTGCTCTGTCATATTCATCCATCAAAAAATGGATAGCAGAATTTAAGCGTGGTAGAGAGAGTGTGAAAGATGAACCCCGCTCTGGAAGGCCTTCGACGTCAACTACTGACGAAAATATTAAAAAAGTACTTGATTTAATAATGGGAGACCGCAGATTAAAAATTAGAGAGATAGCCGAGATTATAGGAATCTCTTATGAACGAACTCAAAACATCATTATCAACGAGTTGGGTTTCCACAAGGTGTCTGCGAGGTGGGTTCCGCGACTGCTTTCAGTTGAACAAAAAAAGGACGCGATTGACTATTTCACGCGACTGTTTGGAGTTATTTGAAGCTGATGCAGATGTTTTTTTGAATCGTTTTGTTACTATGGACGAAACATGGGTTCATTACTGTACACCGGAAACAAAACAACAATCAAAACAGTGGAGAAGACCTGGTTCACCACCCCCTAAAAAGGCTAAGTCGATTTTGTCGGCAAATAAGGTGATGGCTTCAGTATTCTGGGACTCGAAAGGTGTGATTATGATTGATTATCTTGAAAGGGGTCAGACTATAAACTCTGATTACTACTGCACCTTACTACGTCGTTTACGAGAGGAAATAAAAGAAAATCGTCGAGGAATGCTCAGAAGAAAAGTCCTGTTTCATCAAGATAACGCCCGTGTTCACACGTCAGTACAGTCAATGGCTGAAATTCACAACTGTGGTTTTGAACTGTTACCGCATCCGCCGTATTCACCTGATCTGGCACCATCAGACTTCTTTCTGTTCCCTAACCTAAAAAAGCACTTGGGAGGTCAAAAATTTTCGACAAACGACGAGGTCAAAGCAGCTGTATACGCATATTTTGACTCTAAGGAAGAATCATTTTTTTTCAAAGGTCTAAATGCTTGGAAGGGAGGTGGCAAAAGTGTATTGAACTTGATGGTGATTATGTAGAAAAATAAAAATATAACTGATTTAGTATGTGTTTATTTTCTTGGTTAGGCCGAGTACTTTTCAATCCACCCTCGTATAAGCGATGCGGTTGGTTGCGTGTCTTCTCAACTTCTGTGAGCCCGTTAACACGAATGCACATGCTGGGCATAAAAGGCGGTAGATAGGAAACCGGAAATGGGCTTTGCAGTAATCTTATTGGATAATAATTAACGAATCCCTTATAAGCGTTAAGAGATAGTGCAAAGTGGCGCGAACACCCCCCCGGCATGAGGTATCCTCAACTAGCAAGTAAAATATAAAAATATAGATATATATGGATAAATACTTATATAGTAGCGAAATGAAGCGACGTTATGACCTAAGAATGAAACTAAATATATAAACGATAATGCAAAATTAACTATATTAATCACTGTGTTGGTAAAGGACACAGTTTGATAAGAGGGTGTTTTAAAGTGGAATTCTTAAGTTTAACTTGCGCAACGCGTACCACACCATCCTTACCGGGAAACAATTCGGTGACAACGCCTAGAGGCCACTGAAGCGGTGGAGTATTATCCACGTCTATTAGAACAATTGTTCCTACAGAAATGGCAGTAGCGTTCTTATTCCACTTCACTCTACTCTGTAATGTATGTAAGTATTCGAATCTGAAGCGTTTCCAAAAGGACTGAACTAAAGAATCTTTAAAGAAAAGCGTGATAACAGATTAATACGTTCCTTGCTTAAATCTGCAGCTGGTAAACATTCAAGTGATTTTAAATTTAGAAAATGTGCGGGTGTAAGTGCGGTAGGTTCCGATGGATCATTGCTTAATACAAAAAGCGGGCGAGAATTTAAGATACACTCGATCTGACAGAGAGTAGTAAGCATTTCTTCATCCGTGAGGATTTGCTTACCTATTATGCGAAACAAATGGGTTTTTACAACCTTAATATTGGACTCCCACAAACCCCCCGAAATGTGGAGCGCTTGGAGTTTGAGTTTCCAAACAATGCGATTATCAGTGAGCACCTGACTGAATGCCTTATAATATTCTTCTGATTTTAAAAATCTTTGTAATTCATGTAAATATGAATGCGAGGCGACAAAATTAGTACCGTTATCGCTGTATATAAATCGACACGGACCTCTACGAGAGATAAATCTCTTAAAAGCGTCTAAAAAACTTGCCGAACTTAGATCAGACGCTAATTCTAAATGCACTGCCTTAGTAACGAGGCATATAAATAAACATAAATAAGCCTTCTGGCTTCGTATACCACGTTTACGCGTCAATGTGATATAAAGTGGGCCCGAAAAATCCACACCTGTGTGTGTAAACGCATTACACTGCTTTAGGCGGCAAGCAGGCAAGGCAGACATCATGGGGTAAATAGGTTTGGGTTTATGTCGAAAACAAATGTTACACCTATGAATGCGGTATCTCACTACACGGCGAGCTGATAATATCCAATATTTCTCCCGTAATGCAGCAAGTAAATACTGAGGACCAGCGTGGAAATGTTTACAGTGATAATAATCAATTATAAGATCAACAATATGCCCCTTTTTTGATAGCAATATTGGGTGCTTTTGGGAATCCGATAAAGACGAATAATCTAACCGACCACCTACTCGAAGTACATCGTCCGTAATAAATGGCGATAACCTTCGTAATGTGGATGAGCATAGTTGTCCCTTTTTTAATATTTTTTATGTCTTCGGCAAAAGCGATGCCTTGCACAATTTTAATAACTGTGATTTCAGAAATCTCTATGTCGGATGCTGTTATAATTTTATTTATGCGCGGTAATTTTTTTAAAAACCTTAAAACGTAAACAACGGATTGTAAATACTTATTCCAATTAGAAAATTTTAAGCTTAACGAGATAAATGGGTGTTCTTCCATGTCACTGACTCCAAGCGCCACAGTCTTTTCTTCTGGTAAACTAATATGAGTTGATGCGAACCTTTGTACAGGCCATTCTTTACACGGCAAGGAAACCCACGAAGGACCATGTAACCAAAGGTCACAATTTAAAATTTGTGAGGGTAACAGTCCACGTGAAATATGATCTGCAGGATTTTCCGAGCCGGCGATGTGGTAAAAGTTATCCGGTAATAAATAGGATTGTATTTGCGAAATACGGTTAGCAACAAAGGTGTTGAACTTATGCGGTGAAGAACACGCCCAACAGCGCGCGACTTCCGAATCTGAAAACGCATAAATGTTGTCGATCGGATGCCTCAACGACAACGATTCGTAAACGGTGCGTACTAACTTAGCGAGCAAAACCAAGGCACACAACTCTAGCCTGGCTAAAGTTATAACCTTTAATGGGGACACCCGAGATTTAGAACATAGGAGCGTTATAATTGGAGGTTTATTTCCGTTAACAACATGCGAATAGATGACACACCCGTAAGCTTTTTCACTAGCGTCA